GAACCGATTAAGTTCGATTTTTGAGGTTCCACTGTATTAGTACAGTGGACCCCCGCTTAACGATCACCTCCCAATGCGACCAATTATGTAAGTGTATTTATGTAAGTGCGTTTGTACGTGTATGTTTGGGGGTCTGAAATGGACTAATCTACTTCACAATATTCCTTATGGGAACAAATTCGGTCAGTACTGGCACCTGAACATACTTCTGGAATGAAAAAATATCGTTAACCGGGGGTCCACTGTATAAGCAAAAATTTTGGCATTGTCTCATCCCTATACAGGCGGGCCTTACATATACAGCATCCTCTTTTCAGTGTTCCAAATTTTTGTTGTTTTCAAATGAGCCATTGTTCATTATGTTTCATGCTATTACCTGTTTTCCACCATTTTTGTACAACAGTTGCGTAAGGGAAGGACGACTGGCACTATATTTTAAGGTAAGCATTGTATGTACTGTGTATTTTATTTACTTTTTTGTCTGTTTTTATATAAGCCTAGGTGTAATGAGCACGTTATCAGACGTTTTAAACACATTCAATAATGAAAATATTCTCTTTTCCATCTGCTGGAGATTTTTGCTTACCGTAGCTCAACTGCTAGTGCACTCAGCTCACACACTGAGGTCCAGAGTTCAAATCTCCTCTGGTACGGATGGAAAACATTAGGGACATGTTTCCATATGACACCTACTTACTGTCCCTGTTCACCCATCAGTTTAAAATGAGTACCAGGGTGTTAGTCAACTGGTGCAGGTCACATCCTGGGACAAAATTTACCTAATTTGCCCGAAATGGTCAGCATAACAAAGGGCTTTCTATATACTGTAGTAGTATGTCATTATTGTCAACTAGGCTTATATATCATGTTTTTTTTTTTTTTTTTTTTTCAACAAGTCGGCCGTCTCCCACCAAGGCAGGGTGACCCAAAAAAGAAAGAAAATCCCCAAAAAGAAAATACTTTCATCATCATTCAACACTTTCACCACACTCGCACATTATCACTGTTTTTGCAGAGGTGCTCAGAATACAACAGTCTAGAAGCATACACATATAAAGATACACAACATATCCCTCCAAACTGCCAATATCCCAAACCCCTCCTTTAAAGTGCAGGCATTGTACTTCCCATTTCCAGGACTCAAGTCCGACTATATGAAAATAACCGGTTTCCCTGAATCCCTTCACTAAATATTACCCTGCTCACACTCCAACAGATCGTCAGGTCCCAAGTACCATTCGTCTCCATTCACTCCTATCTAACACGCTCACGCACGCTTGCTGGAAGTCCAAGCCCCTTGCCCACAAAACCTCCTTTACCCCCTCTCTCCAACCCTTTCAAGGACGACCCCTACCCCGCCGTCCTTCCCCTATAGATTTATATGCTTTCCATGTACTTTTCATGTACTTGTAGTAAATAAAGATATTATTATTATTATTATTATTATTATTATTATTATTATTATATTATTATTATTATATAGGGTTGGGATCCTAAGAGCTGTACAAATGGGGCCCTCCTGTATAAGGTAATTGCAGGCAGTCTGCATCACTTTCTTCAGTCTCATCAGTCACTAATACTTCTGGGCACCTCTAGCATCACAGGTATTCCTTTACAGTGCCAAGGTTAGTATCTAGAAATGAGATGAGGTGTTGATAATATCCAAAATCATTTGATAAGCACAGACAGAGCAAACAGCGGAACTTTGGTTGTTGACTGCATTACTTGCCGAACAAATTGGTTTTCAAATGAGGAATTCGAGAAAAAAATGTCCTGGTTTTCGTGTGTTCTCTTTGTTGTCAATCAACAATGCGAACAGCTCGGGTCAAGTGCTCAAAGAATGAGCACTGGGCAGTGTGTCGACAGTGAGGGGGACTAAAAATTGAAGCCCTTACTTGTTTATCATTCCCCAAAAATCTGTGAGTTTTTAAGAAGAACAATGTTATGAAAATAAATTGGCTCTTGGCCCCCACTGTCAAAAAAGTACCTCATTAAAAAGCCATTGTCACTCAGGGCCTTTTTACTGATGCATAATGCTCCTGCTCACCCTCCAAGCTTGGAAAATGAGTTGTTGGAGGAGATCAGTTTTACAACTGTGAAGTTCTTGCCTCCTAACACCACTCGTCCCATCCAGCCCATGGACCAGCAGGCACTTCTAACTTCAAGAAACTACACCAAAGCACTTTTTGAAAGGTACTTCGAAATCATTTCAAAAACAAACTTAACCCTCAGGGAGTTCTGGAAGGACCATTTCAATATCCTCACCTGCTTGAGGCTTATAAACGAAGCCTGAGGAAATGTGTCTTCCGGGACCATGCTGTCAACATGGAAGAAATTATGGCCTGACTTTGTGGCAGCCAGGGATTTTGAAGGCTTTGAAGATAAGCCTGAGCCGGTAGAGGATACTGTGTCCCTGGGGAAGACCTTGGGCCTAGAGGTGACTGAAGATGATGTGGAGCAGTTGGTAGAGGAGCACAGAACTGAACTCACCACAGATCTTGTAGACCTTCAGAAGGAGCAGCAACAGACTGCAGCAGAGGAGCAGTCATCAGAGGAAGAGGAGGGAAGGGATGATGTGCCCAATGAACATGTCGAGGAAATGTGTGCTAAATGGCTTAATGTGCAGGAGTTTTCTGAAAAATACCATCCAAAGCAGTGGCCATTTGTCTCACTAATATGCACAATGACAGTGTAATGTCTCAGTTTAGACAAGTATTAAAATGGAGTCTGAAACAAAAATCACTGGACAAGTTTTTAGTGAGACAAAGAACCGGTGAGCCAAAACAAGGTGTTAGTGGTGAAAAGAGACAAGGAAGAGAAACAACTCCAGAAGGACAGTTGCATGACATATTAATAGGTGACTCTCCTTCCAAGCAGTAACATACCCCCTCCTCTCCTCCACCTCCTGCTTCTAATATGCCATTAGCTCTCCTCTGACAGGTAAGAGACAGTTAGATTTTCATTTACTGTACAGTATTTCAGTTAAAGTTTCTTTTAGTATTCATTTTATATAGTAGTTAGTACATTTTTAATAAATTACGATATTGTCATTCGGGGTCTGGAATGGATTAACTCTATTTACAATACATTGTTTTTAAAGGAAAAACTACTTTGGTGGTCGTCCATTTTGGTTGATGAATCGACATCTGGAATGAATTAAAGTCTACAACAGAGGTTCCACTGTACTATATCTATAATTAACACTCTTTTAATAGTATTATTCAAAGAGTCATGCTTACTCATCTTCTTGGCACCTCCAGCATCACTAACATTCCTCATGGATGCCATAGTTAAATTTCACATATGGTAGGAATACACTCGGTAAGAAACTTACTGAGAGAAAATATTATTTATAATTCACTCTTAAGAAAATCACCACTGTTATATCTATGGTTCTTGACCAATATCTACCAAACATATATGAAAACTATGTACATATACACCTACCATCTGACTTACGACCTGCTCGACATACGACCACTTGACTTACGACCATGTGTTTATGCCAAATTTCTGGGAAATAAACAACTGTTTGTGTTGTACACAGTGTTTATCCTAAACCTTATGGTATAAAATACAGTACTAACAGCATAAAAAGTTAAGAAAAAATGAAATACCAAAATAAAACAATAACATAAAATTATTACAAAAGTGTGATGTTGATATTCAGTAGTAAGGTTCGACTTATGTCCATTTTGACTTACGACCAGTTGGTCGGAACCAAGCTTGATCGTAAATCGGATGGTACCTGCATGCACAAAATGAGCATACAGTAAACCCTCAGTATAACAAACCATTATATAATGGGCATATAAAATAATGGGCAAAATCTCCTGGGTAAATTGTGTCTCTGACCCCTTTATTTTCAATGTTTATTGCAGTATAACCATAAACTGTGTATGCAAAACTATATTAGGTATTTTTTTTTTTTTTTTTTTTTCAACAAGTCGGCCGTCTCCCACCGAGGCAGGGTGACCCAAAAAAGAAAGAAAATCCCCAAAAAGAAAATACTTTCATCATCATTCAACACTTTCACCAAATTCACACATTATCACTGCTTTTGCAGAGGTGCTCAGAATACAACAGTTTAGAAGCATATATGTATAAAGATACACAACATATCCCTCCAAACTGCCAATAATAATTTCTCTACCATATACCTAATATTGCCAATATATTGATATTGGCAATATTAGGTATATGGTAGAGAATTTTTTTTTTTTTTTTTTTTTTGGGGGGGGGGGACTAATTTTTAACACTATTCTGATTTAACACAAAGCATTAATGCATTCATAAAAAAATAAGAAAAAATATTTAAAACTATTGTGTAGGAAGGTACTACTTTTTCTGTTAATTGGGGGACCTTCAGCCTGGGAGAAGAGAATAAACATACTTTAGGCAAAAATCTAGTGATTTCAACTCACTACTGTTTGACCATTTTCTTTACTTATCACACCTTACAAAAATATGAATATTTTAAAGCATTTATTTGAATGAATATTTGCAAAGATTGTAACTGCAGATCAGTGTTCATAAGTACAGTAATTAATTGGTTCCAAAGTGTCAATGTACAGGAAATAAAATAAAATGATTCCCTCAATGCAATATATTTCTTAAGGCACTTTTATAAACCTACATCTCATCTTAAGAAATTATTTTCCTACCCAAAGTTTAGTAGTTATACAAATATTCTTTTGATGGGTTCCTGTGTTAGTACATGAATGAAACACATCCAGCACAGCTAAATTCCCAACTACACCTGTTTCACCCTCATTTGCAACTTCTCTTTCCTAGAACCCTCACTAAAAAACTCAATTGCTCCAACAATCTGGATAAGTTTTTACCAGAATTTCTTAAGGCATCATACAAGTTACAGACCTGAATAGGTTCACTTATTTTTTCATGAAAACTACATATTTTGATCATTTCTATCTGCTAAATTTACTGCACTAATTTAGTTTTCTGCAATACTACACAGAATGAAAGGAAGCAATACGTACTGGTGTGTTGCCATCAAAAAAGAGGACAAGCACAATGCCGTGAGCTGTCAAACTCTTGTAAAAATCTTGAATATGCTCAATATAACCCTTCCATTGACCTCCACAAACCCAGTTTAGTTTGCCGTACAACTTACGCATGCAAGACATGCCATCCACCACAATAAGTGGAGTTTTTCCAGTCCGCCTTTGGTATTCATCCGCAACCTGCAAACGCAATATAGCATTAAAACATCAGTACCCCTAGACACCATTAACACTTCAAAATTACAATCATAAATAAGAAGCTTATCTCTAGTCTTTACTATAAAAAACAGTCTTGTTCAACTTTCATATTTTCAAGTAAACATAATACAGCTTCTCCTCACTTAGCGGCGTACTCGTTTACCGACGACTCGGACTTACGACAGGCTCTCTAACCAGTATGCGTACCTAAATAATGTATATAAGAGCTGATTTCCTCTATTCAGTTCAGTACAATATACAGTAGGGCCCCACTTACACGGCAGGTTAGGTTTCAGGCTACCGCCGTTAAGCGGTAACAAGTTTACACTAACATACATTAAGTTAGCAATAGAACTAGGCATTAAAAATGAAAAAGTAAAATACACATATACATGTAGTACAGTCATTACTTACATTAAAATATTTGTAGTTTTAATGTAGGGTGAGACAAGTAGTATTTATAGTAAGAAATCAGGTGTAGGAGGTATGGTAGCTAATCAGGCCAGGCCAGGCCACCCCACCCAACCCCACCCTCACTTAATATACTACGACATTTAAAGCGTCCCAGAGCGATAAATTGCATATATGGTTCACTCATTACTTACCTTAAAATATTTGTAGTCTTAATGTAGGGTGAGAGGTGAGTAAACAAACTAGGTGGGGCATGGTGACTGTATTAGAAAGTCAGGTGGGGGGAGCTGTATAGTGAGTCTTGGTCATAATTTGAAATGTCCATATTAGGAGAATGCCATAAAGCGGGCCCTACTGTACAGTACGCTACTGTATAAACATTTAAAAATATACCAGTTATAAATGGTGCAAAGGTGACAATAAAACAATATCAAAGATGATTGATAAAAACCCACTACCATTATAGTATGCTTCTCACTTAGCGATGAATTCGTTTACTGGCGTGGTCTTAGGAACGGAACTCAGTCGTTAAGTGAGGACAGGTTGTATAGTACAGGTCGGCCATTACTGATCTGGAGATTTGGTAAAGGAACAAGCCAAAATTTTTCATGAAGAACTAGCTGTTGGGTTAAGTGTATTCTAACCTAACCACTCTGTGATCCGGCAAAATCACTAATCTGGCACCCTACAGGTCCCGGTGATGCCAGATTAGTGATGGTCGACCATTAGTGAACACTAACTGGGTACAGTGTGATATAGCTATGTAATATTATACACACACACACACCAAATTAAAAAAATCCTATTAACCCTGAAAGGCTTTTCTAAAAAAGCCTGAAAAACTTATCTAAAAAAAATTTGATTAATAGTAGTCAAAAACTTTCTGGGGCCAGTATTTTCAACCAAGACTATCTGGCAAATCATTTGGTATTAAGTAATACATTAGTTAATGTCTTAGTAATAAAGAAAATGTAAAAAACAAATAAATGACTAAAATGAACACAAGAGTTAACATGGACCAATTTTTTATGATTGCAAACAACAGTTTAAATTGTGAAGTTAAAATGAAGTGGAATTCTCAAGTTATCATCCAGAAATATTATTAGCAGAATGTTTTTTAATACATACACAGTACTACACATATATTTTACCATGAATGGCAACAAGATAAGATCAACTATATAATGTCAGGAAATAAAGTGGGTAGTGTTGGATAAACCCAACACTACCCACTTTATTTCCTAGCATTATATAGGTGTGAAGTGAAGAATACACAGAGAAATAGGGTTATGTTCCAAACACCTTCAAATTTACCAAACAACTTTTTTCTATTGTACTAGGTAAAGGTTACTGCAGTGTAACTTTGTTGACAGGGAATTTTGTAGGAATGATTAATGTGGGCCTAATGAGTTCAAGCGGGTTGTTGATTCTCTCAGACCAAAAGCTTCCATCTTTTTCAGTACTGTTGTATGTGCTGAGTATGTGTGCATTTATTCAGTACACACAATATGAACTACAATTTTTTAGTCATCTTTGCCACCTGTAAGCATTGCGAAGATGACAAACTTCTGCCCCACATTCTAATACTGCATTTTTAAAACTATCCCAACCCTCTTCAACCCCCCCCCCCCCACTACTCATCTTTGCACTAGCCCACCTTTCTGCCAATAGTCGCTTATATCTCACCCGAACTTCCTCCTCCCTTAGTTTATACACTTTCACCTTCCTCTTACTTGTTGTTGCCACCTTCCTCTTTTCCCATCTACCTCTTACTCTAACTGTAGCTACAACTAAATAATGATCCGATATATCAGTTGCCAATCTATAAACATGTACATCCTGGAGCCTACCCATCAACCTTTTATCCACCAATACATAATCTAACAAACTACTTTCATTACGTGCTACATAAAACCTTGTAAATTTATTTATCCTTTTTAAATAAAAAAATTAAAATTACGTTTTACCAAAATTTTTTTTTCCAAACACAAAACCTAAATTTTAAAAGGTTTCCCCCATTTACTTTTAAAACCCCGGCCCCCCCCAAAATTTACCAAAACCTATTTCCCTCCATAACTTTTTTAAACCCCCATTTTTTAGCATTAAAAACCCCCACCACCATTATTTCTCAAAATTTGGGGTTTCAAAACCCCCCCACGCATTCACTCAACTTTTTCCCCAAAAAATCTCTCTCTCTCCTCTAAAACTTCCTTTTCCCAGGTGCATACACGCTTACTATAACCCATTTTTTCACATCCAACTTTATTTTACTCCACAAAAAACCCTTTGAATTAATACATTTAAAGCCCCCTTTTTTTCCTGCCAAAAGTTTTACCCATCAAAAATTTTTGGGCCAAATTTTCCTTCTTTAGCTCTAACTCTTTTAAAACCCCCCTGCCCAAAACCCTTTATTCCTTTTCCTTTTTAAAAACTCCCCCACCCCCTTTCAGTTTTGGGTTTCATTTAAACCCAAGACAACCCTTCTTTTTCCATTAAATAACATCCACAACATCTCTTTCTTATCATTTGCACAACATCCACGCACTTTTTAGCCCTTCCCACTTTGAAAAATTTTCTTTTTTCTTCCCCCTTTTTAGTAATTTTTAAACGGGAAAAAGGGGTTAAACTAGCCCATTTTTCCCCGGGCATTTTAGGGGTTTTTAAAAACAGCATGGCTTATGGGGGGGGGGAAAAAGATTTTTAAATTCCACTTCCCCCATGGATAAAAAAGGGAAAAAGAAATAAGACCAAAAATTTTTTAAATAAAATCAAAGAAAACTCAGTAAAAGTGTGCAAAAATAAACGTGACATTTATGTGTAGGGGTGCCCAAAAGTGAAAGTAAAAGGGTAGAAAGACATCCCCTGTAATCTTAAAATTTTTTAGAGACGGGAAAAAAGACACCACAATCCTATTTTATCATGTAAAAAAAATTTAAAGGGTTTTTCTTTTTACACTCACTTGGCAGGATGGTAGTACCCCCCCCGGGTGGTTGCTGTCTACCAAACCCACTACCTATTTTCTTTTCCACTCTCCCCCTCTCTCTATAAATATATTTTATAAATATTATATTATCCCCCCGGGGGGTACTACCTCCTGCCAAGGAGTGTAAAACGAAAGCCTGTAAAATTTTTTTTTACAGATGGAGGATTGCTGGGTTTCCCCCTTTTTTTTGTCTCTTAACATGCAAGATTTTTAGGTAAACCCTCTTGCTAAAATTTTACTTTTAAATTAGGTCACACTACACTACATTAAAAAGCACATATAACACCCCCCCTCTGGGTTTTTCTTCTAAATTTTTTTTCTAGTTCTTATTTTTGTTTAATTTTCCCCTTATCCCCCATGGGGAAGTGGAACAGAAATTTTTCCTTTCCCCCAAGCCATTTCGTGTTTAAGAGGCAACTAAAAAGGGCCCGGGGGCAAAGGGGGGAGTAAACCCCCTTCTCCTGTAAAATATTAAATAAATGGGAAAAAAGGGGAAAAAATTTTTTTTTTTCCTTTTTTGGGGCCCCCCCGCCTCGGTGGAAAACGGGCCGGGGTTTTTGAAAGAAAGAAAGATATATATAATATAATAAATGTTGTAGGTTGGTAGAAAAGCAACCCCCCCAGGGAGGGAAAAACCCCTCCTGCCAAGTGAGTGTAAAACGAAAGCCTGTAATTGTTTTTAAAAGAAGGGAGGATTGCTGGGGTCTTTTGTTCGGGCTCATAAAATATGCAAGATTACAGGGACTTTTTGCCCACTTCTACTTACACTTGGGTCACACTACACATACATGTACATGGGTTTTTTTTTTACACCTCATCTGAGTTTTTTTTTGATTTTAATTAATATTTCTTGGTCTTTTTACTTTTCCCTTTTTAAAAACCATGGGGGAATTGGGGAAAAAAAATCTTTCCCTCCCTAAGCCATGCATGGTTTTAAAAGTCAAATAAAATGCCGGGAACAATGGGCTTTGTAACCCCCCTTTTTCCCGTAAAAAATTACTACAAAAAAATAAAAAGAAGAAAAATTTTCAAAGTGGGAAAATCGAATGTGCGTGGATGTTGGCAAATGAAAAGAAAAGAAGAATTTTGGGGGTGTTAAGAATGAGAAAAAACTGGATGTCCTGGTTTAAGTGAAACAAAGCCCAAAGGGGGGGGGAGAGTTTCAATGGGGAAAAGGGAAAAAATGTGATTTTGGTCAGGGGTTTTCCCAAATAGAGTTAGAGCTAAAGAAGGAGTAGCAATAATGTTGAAGGATAGCTATGGCAGGAAAAGAGGGACTACAATGCATAAATTCAAGGATTACGTGGAGTAAAATAAGATTGATGTGAAAAGTGGGTTATAGTAAGCGTATATGCACCTGGAGAAGAGAGAAGTGTAGAGGAGAGAGAGAGATTCTGGGAAATGTTGAGTGAATGCGTGGGTAGTTTTGAATCTAGCGTGAAAGTAATGGTGGTTGGGGATTTCAAATGCTAAAGTGGGTAAAATGTTATGGAGGGAGTAGTAGGTAAATTTGGGGTGCCAGGGGTAAATGTAAATGGGGAGCCTTTAATCGAGCTATGTGTAGAAAGAAATTTGGTAATAAGTAATA